TCTCTCTCTCTCTCTCTCTCTCTCTCTCTCTCTCTCTCTCTCTCTCTCTCTCTCTCTCTCTCTCTCTCTCTCTCTCTCTCTCTCTCTCTCATAATTCCAGGAATGGCAAGGCAACCCTGGGGCCCTTTTCTCCATCTCTCCTAACGAGCAGAAAGCCAACTTTATCCTCTCTCAATATCCACTGCACTCCCCTCAGCCAATCAAAAGGCAGCTTTCTTTGCACTCTTCTTTCTGTCAGCAATCAGCGGCCAGATGTCCTTTGCTCCGTGCATTTCCCTTTATATTTGCCTGTGCATTTTCTTGCAAACGTCCATGACATCCAGCTGTTCAAACAAAAACGGAACTTAGTTCAAAACAAATCAATAGTGACTTACCCATGACTGAATGATGATGGTGGAAGAGAGTACACTCCTTTTGCAGCTTTGTCAAGCCAATAGAATGCCCCAATACTGTCACACACAAGATCACACCATAGTTGTGGCGTGTCATTCACGAAAATGAGGAGAAGACACCCATTATCTCATGCTTTTTTTTTTTTTTAAGGGTGACTGCCTTGAGGTATCATTGTCAAACTGACCGGCCCCAGGTAATTGTTCATGGTTTTGTTTCATTCATTCTAGTTCCATCCAGATTTGAACTCAGGTCTGTATTTCAACAATCCATGGGTGTACCAACTGAGCTAGGGCCATTGGTGCATCGTTCTCTCATCCAGTTACAGAGATCATGCTAAGTATGTTGAAGTACCCTCATGAAATCTATAAATAGAACACTCAGGGGATAAACACGCATGTGAACTTTTTCAACTGAAAATAGAACACTCTGGTCACACTTTTTGGGCACATACATCGAGTGGATCGAGCAAGTATACCTTGTGCAAGCTAAAAATAGAAATTATAGAACACTTGTGCGAGGATCTGGGTCCTTGGCAGGCATAAGGTGCCCTGTTGCAAATGTGCCCCCCCTAAGTGAAGGCGGGCCTAACAAATCAGGAGAGGCCCTCAGCTGTCAATTTCGTATTTGGGGTCCAGGCAGTTGTGACGCACCAGTTGGTTGAGGGAAACACAGGCCGAGCAGCAAAGACATTCCACGGCCTTCCAGGCTTTTCCGAAAACGCAGGCCCTGGGCAAGAATCGCAGCCTCATACACAGACAGTTGGGAGGCCCAACTGAACGAGGCCCAGCAGCTGCAACAGAGGCGCAGCCTCCTGGGGCCTACCGGAAGCTTCTGGGCCGAGGCCCAGGCCAGCCAGGCTGCGAAGGCAGGCAGGCTCTTTCCATATAGGAAAGAGCTCGCTGCCTGGGGATTCATTCAGCACTTGCATGCTGGCGGCAGCGCAGCTGGAGTGGACGCTTGTAGGCTGCTGCCGGCGCTGAGAGGCAAGGTGCGAGCGCGTGCGGTCGTGCAGGAAGCAGGGCACTGCTGAGGGCAGCACCATAACCCAGCCTCCATAGCTGGATGGGCTTGGACTACAGTGAGGCGCAGGGGTGGTCTTCGGGTGTACAGAGGGAAGATGTGGGTGTAAGTCGCGGGAGAGAGAGAAGGATGATGATGATGATGATGTGAGGGCACATACCTGGTATTGGCGATGGTCTGCATGGGCGACATCTTCAAGTACTTTGTGGGCTGCTGACGTCAACAGTTGCATTGCCAATTAGTAGGCTGACAGTAGCTGTGTAGGAAGTAGGCTGGGCGCCGAGCGCCAAGTAGGGAGAAGGTTCTGGACTCTCGTGTTGGTGGTGACGAGAGCAAGCTCTCATTGACATTGGTTTTCAGCATTACGATTCTCCATTGGTGTCATATCGATGCAATGCTGCTTTCTGGACACTGTGATACTATCTGGCCTTCAATGTGATTATGTATTCTGGATATTGTCATCTCGCTGTTGCTCATTTTCCTTGCACTTGAATAGACTCGGTCACTCGGGGGAAAAAAAAAAGAGATGAAAAAGAAGGTAGTCATTGACACCGGGACCACTGCATTTTCCTAGAGTTCGAACTCACGACTAATTGATCATCAGTTCTGGGTGCCTAATACTGTGTAGTATGCGCCATTCAAGGGGGAAAAAAAAAAAAAAGTGTAATATCTTGTACGTACCATGAAACTAACACCGAGGTACAAGGAAAAGACGCAAGAGCTCATCATCAGTGATGATTAACCACAGCAACGTCACAAAAAAAAAAAAAGAAGAAGAAAATAGAAGGAAAAAAACGCAGCAAGATCTTCAGTTAGTAAAAATTCAACAAAAGAGCACCTCAACATCACAACAAAAAAAAAGAATCCACCGGCCTAGCTGAGTTGGTTAGGCATGCAAGTGGCATTCAGGAGGTTGTGGGTTCAAGCCCCGTGGCCGCCTGCGGCGCACTTAGTGCCAACGGACTGTGATAGTCCTCTGGATACCCCTGATCGGTATTAGCGGGGTCTATGACCAACACGGGTGTGAGTGTGAGAGCGAGTGGGTTGTGTGTGGTSTGTGGGAGAGTGTTGGCCATAGCCTCTGCTGCTACTCGATGAGCGGTGGGGGACGATGAGAAAGGGAGGCGCAGCTACTGGCAAAATGCTCGGTCTTTGCGTTAGCCGGACCCCCACCGGCAACCCCACCCCATCTCTGACTACCGCTGTTGGGGCGGGGGGCAACATGAATTACCTCGTTCGCGAGGCCCTATGCTTGCAGGGGTCCCCTCTATATAGTCTTAGGAGTAGTGGTAGGAAGGTAGTGAAAGGCGAAAAAGAATTTGAGAGAAGAACATAGTGTAGCTAAAAAAAGAAGAAGAAGAAGAAGAAGAAGAAGAAGAAGAAGAAAAATGCAGCAAGATCGCCAGTTAGTAAAAAATTAACAGGGGAGGTGTGCTCGTCTTGACTACCCTACGAAACGGCTCAAATGTCAAACCCATGAAGAGAGCCTTTGTATTTATCCTAAGGCACCCTCGACTCTCAATGTTACCGAGTTTGCTCCTCTCGCTTTTATTTGTTTGGTTTTTTACGTCATTTAAGTTCATTTATATATATTAATATATTATCCTCATCAAGAAACAAACACAAAGACGAATTTTGAATTATGAAACCCATGTATTAATAAAATCATCAAATTTGTCAAATTTATTCTCAAAATCGAAATTTGTCAAATTTCTCAAATTCGCCAAATTCGTGAACTTCGTCAAATCCGCCAACTTCGTCAATTTTGTAATAAATATGCATTACATTTACAATGTCTTACATGTATTACGAAAATTTTAATACCATGTATATATATCGTCAAACAGAGCTCTGTATATAT